GGCCAACTCCAAAACTTCGGCCGCCAAATACTCCATGACCGCTGCTAAGTATACGGGCGCTCCGGCTCCAACTCTCTCGGCGTAGTTGCCTTTGCGCAACAGCCTGTGTATTCTTCCTACCGGGAACTGCAATCCGGCTCTGCTCGATCTGCTCTTGGCCTTTCCTTTGACCTTGCCGCCCTTTCCTCTTCCAGACATTTTTCAATAATGTTGTTCAAAGCAAATTGGCAAAAGAAAGAATCTCTCTATATTACTGCAAACGATACTTAATTTTCGACAAATACTATGTTTATATATCCCTCGACTGCATGCTAGTAACTCTCGGATAGTTATTTTAATATATCACGTGATGCAATACGCATTTACAACCAATCAATGAGCGGCAGCTTGTAAATGTATACTTGCACATTCATTTACTACATGTCGGTATAATATTGCTGTAGGTTTTTAGGCATTGTGCAATTGTTCTACATACGTGCACACACACACACACACACACACACACACACACACACACGTTTGCCACGTGTATAGACGTTATATTACTTATTGTTTATGCATTAGTTTAAGTTAAATCTTTTTTTGACTTAGTTTTTCATTCAAATATTTATTAATTCGTCAAAATATCGACCGATTTTTATTTAGCATAACTCAAATAAAATTCAAAATTAGGCGCGCGCGGATCTATCACCTTTCTTTGTTCTTTCTCTACCCTCTCGCTCACAAGCACGCTCTCTCACAGGCAAACTATCTCGCTCGTAAATACGTTAGCAAACCACGTGATCTATTCACTCACCTAGCTCGCTCATATATATCGGTCTGCGAGGGTTAAACGCCATCACTGCGAATGCGTACTCGCCTCTCCTTTTTTTTATATTTTACTTATTCGTTCTTGAACAATGCCACCAAAGCCTGCCAGCAAGGGAGCTAAGAAGGCCGCCAGCAAGGCGAAAGCTGCTCGCAGCACGGACAAGAAGCACAAGAGAAGGCGAAAGGAAAGCTACTTTATATACATATACAAAGTGCTGAAGCAGGTCACCCGGACACGGGCATCAGCGGCAAAGCCATGTCAATAATGAATTCGTTCGTCAATGACATCTTTGAACGAATCGCAGCCGAAGCTTCTCGCCTCGCCCACTACAACAAGAGATCCACAATCACCAGCAGAGAAATCCAGACGGCCGTCAGGCTTCTGTTGCCCGGCGAGTTGGCCAAGCACGCCGTCAGCGAAGGCACCAAGGCCGTCACCAAGTACACCAGCTCAAAGTAATCGACCACTGAAATAAAGACAAGACAAACGGCTCTTTTCAGAGCCACCCATTCTAACGATGATACGCTTGCCAGCTTAGCCAAACTATTTTTTTCATTCTTGAGTATATCTAAAAAACACGGGATGGCTGTGAGGAGTCCTTTTCAAAATATGGTATATAATTGTCAGTTTCATATAAATATATATATATACACACATATACTAACAAATACATACGGACAAGTACAGTCATATATTAAGACAAATAAGCCGCAATCTTACTAACAGATTGTCAGTGTTCATAAAAATATATACTTGCAAGATTAACACATGTACATGTCAAGTATAGCCAGTACAGTATGTACAGTATAGAAAATACTATATACATCGTAATCTTACTAAAAATGTTCAATTCATCTATATATAACAAACACAAACATTCTTATCTGAATTCATTGTCAAAATAAAGTAATTTTTTTAAATAATGTCTACAAATCATTAAACTTATTATGCAAAAACCAGGATAAACATACGGCATGTACGCACACAACACATGAATGCACATCTACATGTCATTACCAAAAATAACTGACAAAATTTGAACTTTCACAAAAAAACAATTTAATAATCACAATCACAGTTTATTAAAAACACTTTCAAATATTTCTTAAAATTTTCACATTAAAGATATCCACAGGAAAACCCATTTGTAAAACGTGGTTCCAGCTTCTTGGACCCCTGCATATGATATGGTCGTCTTTAAAAAATTTTTTCTTCTCTTTGCGTTTAAAGGAGAAAAAAGGCATTTTTTAATTTTTCGGTAATTCTGTTGTTGTACACGTGTTTCGTTAGTGCTTTTGTTTCATCAACTCTTTGAGTTCATTATTCATTTTAAATATATAATTAGTGTTCTTCATTTTTTTTTTATTTTGGAACGAATTCTTGAGTTCATGTGGTCATTTTGTCTCTACAAAATTTCCAACTACTCTCAGCATCTCCAA